GCATATCATAGAATTCTCTTTAACCATGATTTTTGAGGTACAAATAATAGAACTGTGCCCTCCTGCAGGTGATGAATTCACCAGGGTTCTGATGCACAGTTCCACCCTAAACAGCAGGGCTCTATGGGGGTAGAGTATTGAAGCCATTTAAAATTACACCCCAAATACAGTCTACAGAGTAGTAATGAATAAAAATGACCTGTAGTTATACCAGCTATTTAGGTGGGTAGAGTGCAGGTAGTCTGGCAAAATATCAAGGCAGAGGGCCCTTCTTCTTTTGGATGAAATTAGAAAATCCCAAGGGGCTCTGAGGGCTTTAAAATCAAATGTGATCAATAAGTCTAATTTCTGTATCTTACCCAGAAACCCAGAACAGTGCACTTTGCTCTCATTTCCAAAAAATTTCTCAGTGAATCACTGACCACCTGCCCTCCCCTTTAATGGTTTAGGGGGTGATCTATGTCCCAGTGAGAGAGAATAAATTTGAGAATACCCTGAGGGTCTGGAACTTGAGCTCTGGCCTCCTCCTTGCCCAGTGTGGTCCCATGGAAAAGAACAAGGTTGTTGGCTAAAACATCCCCTGAAAGTAGAACACAGAGGAGGTGGGTGCATATTTCATGACAGACTGTTTTAACTTTCCAAACAGCCGCCTCTTTTACGGCCAGCAGCTACTATTAATTATTTATCAGAACACTTATTTATACACTAAAAGCTAAATGCAATCCTTTCAGTGAAGCCTGGCAGAGTGCAGGCTGGAAAAAGTAGCTGTGGATAGCCCTTCAGGAGGGCAGGTTTCACGCAGAGCTCTGCTCAGGGAAGAGCCTGTCTGCATTATTCTCTCTGCTGTTGGTGCCTGGTAATGATATTTACATGTGGGAGATGAAAACCCAGCCATAAATAAGAGTCTGTAGCTGTGGGGGCGTCAGCCTGATCTCCCTTGGCCAGGCTGAGTAAGCCAAGGACAGCTCTTATGTCACCAGCATCCAAGGAAGAAGAGGGAATCCCTTTTTGCTTCCTTCCTCATGAAGGGAGCTCACCCTGCCCTGGCTTCCACTTCAGTATTTGCTCTGGCAAATGCTCTGAAGCTCATCCTTGGAGCAGGGAAGGGAGGATTCATTTGCTCCCTTTGCCTCCACCTGGGGAGCGCAGTTGGGACCCCTTCTGTCACCAGAGGGAAGGAAATAGGTTTAAATACTTCTCTGCTCCTTTCAGAATTGAGTTTCAATGGCCATCCATGACTTGTGGTGCCAATGTGTTTTCCTCATCATGCTTTCTACCCTGGTGTGCTGTTGCCATGTAGCTCTGGTGGCATTGCTGTTTAGGTGAAATACTATTATTTTTCTATAGCAACCGTTAATTTCAGTGGAAATTCCGATTCCATTGTAATTATTCCTCACAGTAGTTGTAATAAATGTTTAGGATTGACGTGGATGATTTTCATTTTCCTCCAGCACCCGATGCTTTAATAGCTCAATTTTTCTTGCTTAAGTGTTGACATAGATGGAAAATTGATTCTGAATTTCTATCTAGCACTCTTCTGGGTGGCTTACCTTCTTGAGGGGCACAGCTCAATAGGAGAAAGAGACTTGCTTTTGTGACATGTGCGTTCTCCAGCCTAACTCAAAATGGGAGACAGGACATTCCACCCAATTTCCAACAGAGACCCTCCTTCTCCCTAAGAGCTCAGCCCTTCCACCTACTCTAATGGTCCCCAACTGCATCCCAGGCCTGAGAATAAGGGATCTGATAAACTGCCACCTTGCACTCCGCTCCTTAACACTTGCAAATGGTTTCAACCCAAGCTCCCCTCAACTTGGGAGGTGTGGAGAGCCTTTGGCTCACCCTAAGCTCCCCAGTTTGGGCAAAGTGCAGCTTTCTCCACAATTCCAATTTAACCTTTCCTTCAGCCATCCAGGCCACAGCTTGCAGTGCCTTGCTGCTCTTAGCCCAGGGGTTGCTTTGTTCAGAAAAGCCAATTTTGCAGGTATGGAAAACAGTTTTTTGGATACACTTATGAAGGTGCAGAAAGAGGGTTGGAATTAGATGCTTTTTAAGGTCCTTCCTAACCCAAACCATTCTTAGGTTCTGTCCTTATGGAAGCTTTGCAAGGTATACACTTGATGGAAGCAAACAGCAGTGTACACATGCAGCTGAAGCTCAGCCAGCCCTATAGTCATAGAGGCAATCGAAGCAAAATTGTTTGTGAGCTAAATCAGAATTATTTGGAACAGAAATGATACTTTTTTTTTTGTCTTTGGTTGAAGTTCATTATATGGTTTCCTTTACTGCTTGTAGAAAAATGATCTATCTTTTTCATAGTTAAATGCAATTTTTTGTTTATCCAACTGAAAACTCATAGTCAGAACTAACAGTAACTCATCAGCATTTTCTGTGCTCAGTATTGCCATGGGTTTACAATATATGGCCACATTTTCTTTAAAGTATCTCATTATATTGCTGGGATAATTCCTGTACTGCAACCTTAAAAAAAAAAAAAAAAAGTCTTTGCTATTAACATATTTTGGTCCTGTTCATAGTGAATGTGAAAGCTGAACTCTAGAGCAGCTCATGATTCCTGCATGGTGTGAAGTCTGATCGTGGCCATTACAAAGAGTGATACAGCAGATATCACAGCTTCTGAACGCCCATAAAGTTTGAATAGGACTTGCAGAACTTGGTGGTGTGAGTTAACAGGGTGTTGAGGCTGAAAAGGATTTATGTGTGGGGGAATGTGTGTGTGTGTGTGTGTGTGTGCAAGGGGTCAGACACTGAAGAATCCTGCTCTCTGCTTAAATGTAACCCTTTGAATTTGATTTACTCTGATAAAATGCAAGTTAGAGGAGCATTTCCTCAGCCTCGCAGAAGAGAGTGGTGTCAACAAGACATTAATATACTCCTGCTTTCAATTCTGAGGCTTTCAGACATTAGGCATCTATTATGAATCAAAAAAAAAAAAAAATGGCCATGTTCTGGGGAAATGACACAAAACCTAATAGACAGTCTTAAACTTCTGCACAGAGCAATGTCATTAGGAACATCTAACCCAATTGAGCAGATCATATCTGTATCTCATTGATAAGATCCAGGAGAAAACTCGGAGCCAAGAATTCTCTTAGTTAAAAGTGACTTGGCAGTTCACACCCTGTCCCCAGCCCCTCCTTTAGAGCAGCATTTCCAGAAGCAAGGCAGACAGTGCAGCTTGGTGGAGGGGAGAAGGTGCATGGGGAAGGTGTGCAGACAGGACATGGGGCAAGACAGGGAGCACCTGGGAACGTTGTCAGCTATTGAAACTTTATGAGCAACGAGATCCTGCTGTCCTTCCACAGCCTGAACATTTATGGCAGGAGGATAGTGATCCAAACTACAGAGGAAAGGTGGTGAAAATGACTTACTTCTCTTTTTTATCTTGTTCTCTGAGAGCATTCAAAGCTAGAAAAGGTAGAGGAACCTGCTACAGGGGGTAGGCCAGATTCTGCAGCATTTGTTCACGAGGAGGGAGGCTTTAAGCCATGTGAATGACAGCCTCAGGAGTTAGTAAAAAATTATCTGGTAAATTCCCTGGGGGAAAGTGAGCTTCATGAGTGTGGGGTTTTGTAGGTATGTGTGCTTACAACAGTGCAGCACTTGTAGGAGGAGATTTGTTTGCCTCTAAGCATTTTCCTGTGAGTGTTCATTCCCAGCAGCAGTGACTTGGAGCCCGTGTGCCAGCGGTAGGATAAAAACGCTGGGCTGCTGCTGGACTCGGTTTCTGTAGGATCTGAAGAGCCCACACTGATTTCTTCAGTTTAGCTCTTACTACCTCTAACAATCCTTGCTTCCATTCTAGAAGTGATCATGGTGTTAAAAAAAAAAAAAATAAAAATGTAGCTGACAGATGTTGTTTGCTATCAAACTGCTGCAAGAGAGCAGATCTGTAGGTTTTGGCTTCCTGACAGTACAATTACTTGTACTTTAGTGCATGTTTAGTATATCTCCATGGAAAGCTTCTACCGTGTCATTCTAGTACAGTAGTTCTGCTGAACTTTGCTAGGTGGTAGCAAATAAAAGCAAAGGATGTGGAGTAGACTACAGAAGCAACTGTATCCTCTTTTCCCCCCTCACCTAACTTCCCATGCTCTCCCTTCTGTGCTCTCTCATGTATTTAGGCAAATATATGAAAAACAGCTGTTTCCCTCGGAAACAACATCCCTTTGCATCAGGGGAGCTTGCATGCAAACGTGGCAAAGACTATCTCAAACTTCCAAATAATCCTTGGAATGCCAGGCTCTAGGCAGCTTTCGGAAGCACTTACTATGCATAGGTTCCAGGCAGATCATTTGACACCCTCTGGATATTTATACCTGCTCTGAGTATAGGCACTGTCTATGTGGTTGCACGAATATATGCCCAGAAGTAAAGGTTGAGAAACTGAACAATAGCTTACCTAGAGAAGAATTTCTCTTCCTAGCGTGCAGCAGAGAGACATCTGCTATTCACAGCTCTTCACTGGGCTCCAGATAAACTAGGGAGAGTTTTCAGTTGCCGGCAGCTTGCCTGAGCGGCATCCCAGGAAGGCTCCTCTTGCTCCAGCCCCAGTCACTGAAACTCTACCGGCACAGTCACATCTCATTTATACCCAGCCTGTCCTCCTCAGAGCGAGCAGCCAGCTGGGATGATTCAAACCTCTGCTCAGCACACCGTTCAAAATGCAGCTTCCTTCTCGGACACGGGGATCACGCCGGGGAGCCGGCAGGCTCCAGCAAGGAAGGCTGCGAGAGAAACTCTGGGATCAGGCGAGGAGCAGCTGCTGGCGGTGCTGCCGCCGGCGCCGCGCTCCCGTGTGCCGGAGTCAGGCTCCGTCTCCCGCGGATCTCCAGGAGTAGCCAGGCTTGGCAGGGCTGTGATTGGCAGGAGCGGCCGATTCCTGCCGCTAATCAAGCCGCAGACTTTCAAGGACTCGGAGCTGCTCTGATGTCATTCCGGCCGAGGTGGA